TACTTATTTTTAAGTACATTAAAATATTAATTTTATTGAGTACAATATACAAAACTTGCCGACTAGAAAGAAAATCAAGAAACTCACACTTCACAGACCATGCCAACCACAAGTGAGTAGCATCAAATGATTGCCTCTAGGGCGCATCTCCAAGTAATAAAAGGGGAATGTGGAAAAACTCCAACTTTGTTTGAAGTTGCCGTGTCAAAGGTTCAAATTCTGAAATATGTATTTGGCCCTTGGGTTCAGCCTTCCACCCTGTACCCTTGGAGGCATAACCTGTGATTTACCTTATTCACCAAACCCCAGGGCATGATAGGTGAGGACCGTCAAGGATGTGGCTCATCATTTTTTTAGTAGCATCAAATGATAAATATGAGCATTGATTAGACACGCTTTAAAGGGTTAAAACATGATTATTTAAAATAATTCTTCCTAAGCTCTAGATTTTGAAAATTCTTTGATCCTTTGTGCAACATATTGTGCAACTTTCTCAAGTTAAAAGAGTTTTTTCAATGTGTTTGGTACATTGAATTGAGTAAAATAGAGAGAATAAAATTTATATTATGCCTATTATTATGTAGCATTTGAAGAACCGACTATGTTTAAGTTTTAGTGGCATCTCATACCTAATTACAACTCCCCCACTAGTCTACGGATAAAAGTACCATATCCATATTCCTTAACACCCACAGCCAGTCATCCGTTCCAAGTTAGCACTAAAAGAACTCACAAATGGGATGTGCGGAATCGTAGATGGTTCAACTAGTAGAGATTCTTGAAATTTAAAGTTAGCATGATGATAATGCTTCAAAAGAAACTCGAATTGAAGTACAACATAACTAATATATTCTTAGCCGTTCATATTTCAATGCACCGACTAAGTAATTGAATTCTACAGAAAATTTATGAGAATAAAATATCAGAAATCTACTTTTTTCGCGATGCATCAAAATTTAAAGAATACCAATGCTTTACTATTTAAAATCATGCTCTCCCCCCTAATTAGATAGCTTTCCAACTTTGAAAAGATTCAAAGTTGTACATGATAATTTATGTGGATCAACTCTAGTTTCATGCATGTCACTATTATTGAACAGTAACTAAGTAGTAAAATTTCTTGACAATGATCAGG